ATATGCGAAAAGTAATATATACCGTATTCTCTCTAATAGTAGTGCGCATTACTATTTTTTGAACCCCCTCCTGGACCGCAATACTATTAGAGAGTGCACTACTCTCTAATAGTATTGCTTAACCCATTCGAAACCGCAGCGTTTTTTCCTTTTTTTCGTCTACGGACCAAGCCCTTTTTTGACATTTTTGACTCCGAAGCAGTTTATTTATGGTTGGAAAGATGTAAGAGAGTCTCCTACACCATTTATTTTTGATGAAGAACGATTTGGATTTGACTTCAGTACTTTTCAAGATCCTATCGATTATTATTCTTATTTTATCGACGGCAATATTTTAGTAGGCGAATCTAATAAACATGGAAAAAGGAAAACAAACAGCAGGATTTCGATGCAAAATCTTTCAAGCTCTTCCTGGCTTCAAATGGGAATCGTCAAATTACCGAGGATTCGTGACAAATGAGAATTACTGGAGTAGCAGGCCTGGATTAGGAGGATTTTCCCACATGTCCCACATTATGTCAAGAGCAAAATTTGAATCTATTCTTCGAAACCGGCGTTTTTGTGATAATGAACTGGATCCTGCAGGAGATCGGCTTTATAAGATTAGAGCTATTATGGAATATTTCAATGCAAAACCAGAGGGTGCATTGATTCCGGGTAAATATGACACGTCTTTTTTGCCCACGTAATTTGTGGATCTGTTACAATTGGAATATACATGTAATGCTGAAAAACAGCAAAAAAAAAGCAATTAATTGAATGAAAATAGCTCAATTAGCGCTGCAGCGGTCCGTTCCTGAGTTTTTGCTGCAGCGATTATTCGCTGCAGAAGTTTCGAATGGGTTAAAGAGTTTTATCATTTACCAAAGTAAGACAGATATAAGATTTGTTCCAAAAAATTGTTTTAAAAAAAGCAACTTTCTAAAAATATTTATTAGCTTCTGATAAGAAAAAGTTAAATAAACAAAAGAAAAAAATCTACAACACAATCATCATTTGAATCATCATCCTTATCTAGTTCAATATTTTTGCGTTGATCCTTTACTCCGTTTTATGCTCCGTACAGTAGGGTCCAAAAGTTTGGAACCATCACCTTCCGGCAACTTTAACTCGATGTAACGATGTATTGAATGTATTTAACGCAAGTTACATCGAGTTAAAGTTGCCGGAAGGTGATTGTTCCAAACTTTTGGACCCTACTTTATCTATGCTTTATTCAGTTGAATAGCGACAAAACAAAATCACAATAATCACCCGGGACACCACTCAAAACACACCCAAATTCAAAGTCTTACCCTTTCAGTCTAATCTTTTCCAAAAACACTATAGTTTACTTTTTTTTGCTTTTCTTTTTGCCACAAGATTTATGCTGAACTTTTCGATAAAACGAATATCACACGGATAAAAAAGAAAGCCACCTGTTGCCTAATTTCCGGAATTTCTCAAAGTTTCCCTTCAAATTTTTCCCAATAAAGGGCAATTACAGGAAAAAAAAATTGGAGAATTTTATGCCTTCAGTCCATTTTTTTTTCTCCACCGAAAGCTTCCCAACATTATTCTTTTTTTTGGGAGTTTTTCTTTTTGAAAATTGCTCCAATTCAACTCAATTTTCCCAATGTTCTCTCCATTTTTGTTTGCTTAAAAAAAAAGTTTTAGTCTTATTTTGCTCGTCATCAATAGAATAAGAATTTTTTTTGATCGAATTTCTAACTTCTAAAAGATTATAAACTTTGATTTGGGAGTAGGCTAGTTTCCGTCATTTTATTTGCGCGACAGGCGATTTGCGCAATTGGGCCATTTGCACAACTCGACATAACTTTATTCTAAGTCGACCAATCTTTATGGTTTTGGTGTCATTTTGTTGCGCTTATTGAGATCTACAAAATGAAACCAAAACCATAAAGATTGGCCGACTTAGAAGAAAGTTATGGCGAGTTGCGGAAACTAGCCTACCCCTGTTTTTTTAAGGAACAATGAACGAGCCACAAATAGAAAATAGATTTGCGGGGGTACGGTAGCGAAAAGGTAATTTGAATTTTGGGGGTAGGCTAATTTTCCGCCATTTTATTTGCGCGACAGGCGATTTGCGCAATTGGGCCATTTGCGCAACTCGACATAACTTTATTCTAAGTCGACCAACCTTTATGATTGTAGATCTCAACAAGTGCAACAAAGTAACACCACAATCATAAAGATTGGCCCACTTAGAAGACTTGAACCACTTAGAAGCCACTTGAACTCGGAGGGGATTGATATCGGTTTGGCTGAATGGATGTTTCGACAAGCAAGTTTGGGAGTAGGCTGGTTTACGAAACCTTTTTTGAGCACTAGGCTCATTTGCGCAACTGAATCGTTTGCGCAACTCGCCATAACTTTCTTCTAAGTCGGCCAAAAAAAGGTGCGTTTTCAACAAAAAAAAAATCCACTGAAGAGAGCTGAAAGGATTTAAAATTATCCGAAAAGACGAGTACTCAATTTCCAGAATTGTATAGGTGGCTAATAAGTAGACCTAGATAGTTCGATCCGATCAATCCGAACGAATTGGCCCCGCTCACTTTCGCCTTTTTGCCGTTTGGAAAATGCGTTTTTCTCACCTTTCTCACGCATTTTGTTTTCTTCGCATTTTCTTACGCATTTTGCGAACGGCAAAAAGCCGAAAGTGGGCGTGACCAATTCGCTGGGATTTATCGGATCGCATGTCTACTTATTAACCACGCTGTACAATTCTGGAAATTGAGTACATGTCTTTTGGGTTTAATTTTAAATCCTTTCAGCTCTCTTCAGTGGATTTTTTTTGTTGAAAACGCACCTTTTTAGTACACTAGAGTAGTTTTTTTTCGATCTATTATTGCTGCGTGCTTGAGCGCGTTTTGCTCCTTGCTTCAAATGGGATTAAGCACAAGAATCGCAATAAAATCTTTCATAGTCATTATGCCAAAAATCCATGCGTATATTTAAGATTCCCTGGTTTCTTAGCAACATTTTCGGAATGTTACTTATGAGATTTAGGGTAAAGCTTTAAGGGTAACAAGCGTTCAAGCACGCGACAATACTCATTAGCCACCATGCACTTGAGTCCTTTTTGGATTTACTTGTACTTGAGTCCTTAAACAAAGCAAAACACATTTAAAAGCGATTCACTGAAACAATCGAGAATCATTGAATGGAAACCTTTTCTCGTTTCCAATATCAATGCACTCGATAGACTCATTTCTCTCATTTTCTTCCCGCAATTTGATCTCTTTCGCTTCTCTCATTTCACTCTCCAGACTCCCCCTCATCCAATGCCAAATACACTTCAGGAATTTGTATTTGTAATTTATAGAGTCGAGAATCGAATCTAGTATTGATTTGGATTTGATTGATCGATTAAAGTCACGATTTTAAGCGAATTCTCATAATTCTTTATTTTATAACTGTTTAAATCAATGCTCCAGACAGTTTTCAATCAAAAATTTCTTCAATTTTTTCAATTTTTTCAATTTATCAATTTAAATCAATCCTCCAAGCAATAAAGCATTTCTTAGCAACATTTTGGCGATGTTACTTATGAGATTTAGGGCTTTAGGGATAAGCTTTAGTAAAGCTTTAGGGGATAACACGCGTTCAAGCACGCGACAATTCATATTAGCCACCATGTACTTGAGTCCTTTTTGGATTTACTTGTACTTGAGTCCTTAAACAAAGCAAAACACATTTAAAAGCGATTCACTGAAACAATCGAGAATCATTGAATAAAGCAATAAAGCATTTCTTAGCAAATTTTTGCATGCTCCAAGCTAGAACAGAGTTTTTTTCTTTCAAAAACGCTTAGAAACGCTTGTTGATTTATTTTTTGACTTATAGATGTTTGCTGAAAAATTTTGACTTTTTGAAAAGTTGTAGAAAACTCAAAAATCTTTGCAATTCCTCAAAACTGTCAAATTTGACTGATAACTTTTGATTTGACTTCAAGTTTTCTTTGGCCTAAAGAGCCTTGATAAGCCACCACTTTGCCTGACCCGTTGTGCTTCCGTAGCGCAGTAGGCAGCGCGTCAGTCTCATAATCTGAAGGTCGTGAGTTCGAGCCTCACCGGGAGCAATTTTTTTTGCTTTTCTGATTAAACACTACTTTTTTTTTCTTCTGACTCTTGTCAGTTTCCTCGGACTTATTGGACTTAATTTTTTAGGCAGATTGCTGACTTATAAAGCGGAAAAACGTTACAGTGTACAACTTTGGAAACTTTACAAAATCATAAGATCATAAGAGTCACAAGTATCTATAAGAGTCACAAGTATCCACAAGAGTCACAAGTATCCATTTATCGTAAAGACTCTAATAACATTGGCTTGATTAATTAAAAAATTTTTGCTTTTTCACTGAAAACGGTAAAAACATGACTAGAAATAGTTTTCTATGTAAAAAGCCGAAATTTCGGGATCCTTTGTTCATTTCCGAAATGAATCCTCATTCTCTGAAATGAATGAAGCAATTTCCTTCCTTAACTCCATCAAATGTTCTGATTGAAATCTGGAAAAAAACTCAAGAAAAGAAAAGGAATTTGAAAGAACATGGAGTAAAGCCGGGGGAATAAATTGCTGCCACCCACCATCTACCAAACAAAAAATGGGGAAAAGAAGAGAAAAAAATGGAAAGAATTCAAGAAGATGATGTGAAAATTGCCCTAAATACCCAAGCTACCTAAAAAATACGTTTATGTTGGGGTTTTTGAAAATTTTTGATTATCTTTTTGATTTTTTTTAAAGTCTTTGATTGTTTTCTTGGGCTCAGGCTCCTTTTTTTCTGGGAAACTTTGAATAACTTATTTTCTTAACTCTAAAATTCGTTCAACTTTTATTTCCAAGCTTATCCTTATTCATAGCTTCAAGATCTTTGTCTTTTCTTTGTCTTTTTTTTTGGCTTTTCTTTTGCAGATCTTTTTTCTTGAAATCCGATCTTGAATGAAGTTTGGTTCAATTTTCTCTCAATTCTCTTGATTTCATTCAAGTCATTTTTCTAGATGACAACTGAAGAAAATGAATGCGATGGCTTGGAAAGAATCATCGATAGTCAGGTGAGTCAAAAAAGCGATATTGTTTATCATTATTGATCATATTGAACGATATTGTTTATCAACTTTAAATCAACTTTAAATCAACTTGTTTATCAACTTTATTGTGAAATGCAAATTATCAAAATGAAACTGTTTGGTTTAATTGAAAGGATTGACTGTGCAATATTGCAATATTGAATTGAAAGGATTGACTGTGCAATACTGAGAATAGCCGAATATCATTTGTAACTTGCAAATTGTAAATTACGCAAGGAGTCCTACAAAATACACCATTTTGGGTTGCAAAAGCAAGCAAAAAAACCAAATCTGTGCAAAAGCAAGCACTATTTAGCCTATTTTGAGGGTTCTTTGTGATCAAAAACAAAACGGAAACGTCTTGTTTTGGCGTTTTGGCTGAAACGCACCCTTTTTCGCGCGTTTGGGTTCTTAATTTTCCTCATGTCAGTGAGAATCTGATAATACTTTTATTCAAGAACTTAAAGAGCTTATTCAAGAGCTTACAGAGCTTACTCAAGAGCTAAAGAGCTGACTCAAGAGCTTATAGAGCTTAAAGAGCTTAAAGAGCTTATTCAAGAGCTTAAAGAGCTTACTCAAGAGCTTATATAGCTTACTCAAGAACTTAAAGAGCTTACTCAAGAGCTTAAAGAGCTCATTTACTCACGAGATTCGACTTTTTCTAATCAATAATCACATTTGCTTTGAAAACAAAACCACTGTTCGACTTTTAGAATTCATATATGTGGAACGGGCAACAAGGCAGCTACATCGTTGTGATTGTCTATGCGATCGTTTGCACTTTTGGAGCGATTGCGAATTTCGTTGTGCTGATGGCTTTCTGCAAGAATGCAAGCTTGAGAACGATGAGGAATCGGTACGAATTCTCAATTTCTTTCTCTTTCTCTTTTTCTCTTTTTCTCTAAATTCCTAACCTCAAATACCCATTTTCTTATCCGTTTTGAAAATTTTGAAAAGAAAACACCCGGATCTGTGAAAAAGCTTCTTAAAAAGAGTTTATTTTCAAGAAAACAAATCTGAAACTCAAAATAATTAAGGATTTAGGTGTCTTTGGGTGTCTTTAGGTGTCTTTAGGTGTCTTTAGGTGCCTTTAGGTGTGAATTTGAAACTCACATAACTCAAAACTCAAAACAAGTGTGAGTCGACAGGAAAAAAATCGGTTCTTGAAAGAAAATTCTTTGTTTTTCCCCTCTTTTCCTCTTTCATCTCAGCCAATTCACAGAAAGATACAAATTTCGGATTCTTTTTTTTAAGAATAAAACTCATTTAATCAATCAAATTGAGCCCATGAGAGAAATGAAAATTTTCCCCCACCCATTGTTTTAAGAAGAGAATTCTACTCGAGATAATTGACATGGGAATTCAGGGTCGAGAAATGAAAGAGTAAAGGATTCGACTTGAACTTGAAATTTTAGAAAAAAAGAGAAAGCGAATTTGGGATATGAATGCTTTTAGAGCTTAATTTATGTTAATTTTAGAGTTTAATTAATCATTAATGAATTTAGAGATTCTGTGCAGATTTTAGAGATTTTAAGATAGCGCACTTTTTGAGTCAAAGAGAAAGCCCAATTCTTCGTAATGTAAACAGATTTTTCAGCTACAAAAGACAATAATTTTTCTGGAGATAAGAGAAAATTGAATATTTTATCTAAGTCGATATTTTATTAAGATCAGTCAGCTAAAGTTTTTAAAATATTCAGAATTGAAAGAGTCACTTTTAGAGTTCAACAAATTGGTAGCTTGTTCCAAAGGAGAATTCTGTTTCCAGGTTTCCAGATAAGGCAAAATCAAGCCTGTCTATATGGCTAAGTTCGGTTTTGGCTCTTGATCTAGTCTGGTTTGCCTTTGTTCTTGAATTGTCCTCCAGAGCCAGGCCTAGAACCAGCCAGGCTTAGACCCAGCCAGGTTTAGACCCAGCCTGGCTTAGACCCAGCCAGGTTAGACCCAGCCAGGCTTAGACCTAGCCAGGCTTAGACCCAGCCTGGCTTAGACCCAGCCAGGTTAGACCCAGCCAGGCTTAGACCTAGCCAGGCTTAGACCCAGCCTGGCTTCGACCTAGCCAGACTTAGACCCAGCCAGGCTTAGACCCAGTCAGGCTTAGACCCAGCCAGTTAAGCATAAGTTAGTTAACTTCTTACTTGAAATTCATATAAACCCAAACCCTTTCCAGTTTCATCGTCAACTTGGCCTTCTCGGATCTTCTCCTTTGTATGATCACAGCACCGGCTTTCCTTTACCTCACCGCAAACATGTTTTGGCCTTTTGGGGATTTGTTGTGTAAAACGGTAAAGAATTTGAATAATCTAGCTTTATTTCTAACTTTTTCTCGACTTCCTCTAATGAATATTCAGGTGGCCGCTGTGCAAGCAGTGAATACTTTCGTCTCTTCTCTTACCCTCGCCGTCATCGCTTTGGATAGAGCACTGCTCACGATTTGCCCAGTTCAATGGTGAATTATGAAAAGAAAACAAGAAAATAGGATTTTCAATTCTAAATACAAAAATTTCGAACAATTTCTCTTTAAATTTCTCTTGGAAATGATGAATAAGAATGATAGTGGGTTGAGTTAGACAAGCTCGAAACTGAATACTGTAATCCAGCTAATCTTAACTGAATACCTTAATCTAGACTGAATACCTTAAACTAGACTGAATACCCTCATCTATACTGAATA